CCCCAGCTCAGCAGGACTCTATGGATGTGGAGAGATGGACCAAAAGAAGGTTTACAGGGCAGTTACAGAGACCTATTCCAGTCAGAGGGTGAGAAAAAATGTCCCAACCATCTGTTGGTCCCCCTGTAGACATAGACCCTCATTACTGCTCCCCTAGAGCAGGATCATGTCCATGCTGACCATATCCCGATGCCACCTCTACCCATGATGACATTGAGACCACCTCAGGGTACATTCTGAAGCCAGGGCTGGGTCAGGCAATGTGTGGGAATCTACTGCCAAGAACCCGTCCTCCTGGAAAATGACTCACATAGCTGGATCCATGTACAGTCTAAGAGGCTTGGTCCCCACCTTGGCTACATTGTCCATTTCTCCAGATGTGCATAGCACACAAGAAACCCTCTGGCCTCTTCTGTCTTGTAAGGGCAGAGGACAGAAAGAGTGTATCTCTGAAGGAACCCCAGATACCCACCCTACAGACACACCAACAGGCACTCACACACTGGCTTGGGGACACAGAGATTCCCAAGCAATAAGAATCCCCACCTTGACTCCTTCCTCAAGAACCATAATAGAATTGAGACTCAGGCTCAACTGACAGTGTCAGAAGTCTGGGCCTGACTTCAGGAGGAGACCAGCTTGGTGTCAGGTAAGGTGCAGACTGCCTGATCCAAGAGAGGTTCTAGGCAGAGAGTGAGAAAAAGTGTCCCAACCATCTGTTGGTTCCCCTGTGGGGATGGACCCTCCTTCCTTCTCCCCTAGGGACTCTGCTGCCCAAATCTCAACTAGGGCCACACCACAGGAAGACAGGAACTATGTTACCCAAAGGAGCTAAATAAAACTTTCCATCCTCCTGACTCTACCTTCTGAGTTCTGGAATCACAAAAGTGCTCCACCACCCAGAACATTCTTTCATTTCTAAACATACCACAAGGGACAATCAACACTCACCTTTACCCCACCTTAGACTCACAAGAGCAGGGATGACAGACAGCTTGTCCAGACCTGAGCTGCTGACTCACACAGGGACAATCACATGAAGAAAAGAAGCACGCTGCACACAGAGGAAGATCTTTTCCCTGCCACATGGTAGATCTCTGAGAATGTCCTTGTTCCCATTTGTTTCCCTTCTCTATCCATTGCATAATACTGACAGAGAAATGAGACAAATATCTTATACATGAAACTGAAGGAGTTGCTAACAGTTGACTCACTCTTCTTGGGTCTAGCAAAAGAAAAAAAAAAGGATGGACTGCCCACTCTAGGGGGATAGCTACCAGTTGATTTATAAATAGTGGCTTCTTAGCCCCCTTCCTCCAGCAACTACCACTCATGAAGAAGTCATGGCCCTGTGTCTCCTGCAGCTGAGCCTCGCTCTATTTGTGGCCCTAAGAGTTCTGAGAGGCAGGCTGTCTCAGTTACTCTCTTTCATTGCTGGAACAAGTACCCAGCAACGAAAATGAAGGAAGAAAAGATTTATTTAGCTCACAGTTACTGGAGGTTTCAGTCCATGCTTGGCTGACTCCAAGTCAGAGTGGCACATGGCAAAGAGCAGCGGTTCATGGCGGTGGCAAAGAGCAAGAGAAAAATGAAGAAGTAGCAACAACAATGGCAACAGAGAGCCAGTCTGTCTCTCTGTCTCTTATGTTACATTCAGGCTATCCATCCCAGGTTGGGTGTAACACTCACACCAATAATCTCAGCAGTACTCAGATCCATAATCTCATAAATATTCAGACCCATAATCCCAGCCTTGGATCATGAATTAATCACAAACTATAGAACTGTGCCTCAATGACTGCATGAAGATGGGGGTGGGGCAAATGCACACAAATCATAGCACAGGGCAATGTCAGAGCAAATGGGTGACTGAGCTGGAAGGTTCTGCTATTCATCTCACCACTCAACAGAAAATCAATCTTTCTTCTCCCCTTTCTGAGCCCACACTTTACTCTTTTGTTTTTGTCTCCTGCCTTTCTTCCCTCCTTCCTTCTCGCCCTTTCTTCCATCTTCCATTTCATCAATGTCCATACTCAGAGAAGACTCACCCAGTCACTAGAACACAGAGTGTGGAGTAGAGATTCTCAGTGGTGGCAGCTTGGGGCCACACGTAATACCTCCATCCTTGGATTTCAATAAAATGACATTAAAAGGAGTTGACTTGCCTGCAATCTTAGGGGGCTCTGCTTTAGGTCCTGAGGCAGGAAAAGCTCAAGTTTGAAGCTACCCTGCACAATTTAGCCAATTTCTCAAAATAAAAAATAGAGTTGGGAATGTAGCTCATTGCAATGGACCTGGATTCAATTCCCACTACCATGAAAACCATACAGGGGGAGGGAAGTATGAGTTAGCAGCAGGGGCTGTCAGACTCTGAGTCAAATATTCTCACCATACGAAGCCTCAGAGTAGCCAGATAACAGCAAGGGCACCTGAAGAAGAACTACCCTCAAACTAGTCTCAGGGGCATCTCACCCTCAGCCAAGGACCTGACCTAGGGCTCATGAAAGAGCCAGAATGAGTGATAAGCTATAGCAGGGAAGGTGGGAAGAGCTACCATGATCTAGCCAGGGAGTCCCAGGTAGGAAGTGCCAGATGTAGAGTAGGAGAGGACTAGAGAGGTGAGCCTGAGCTCATCCACCTAGAGTGCCTACTGGCTATACGAACTGGGTGGACTAGAGTGGGAGTATTTGATTGAAGGGTACAAAGAAGGCAAAATTGGGGCGTCTTGACTCTGGGGTACAGTTGGAACTAGGACTCAGAATAGCAACAAAGTTGGCCACAGTGCTAGAGCAGAGCACAACATGCAACACAAAGGAAGCTCAAAGAAAACTGCTAGGAGATATGGGAAAGAGAAGCCGAAAGAAAAGAGCAGTGTCAGTGTCTGGGCCTGTGTGGTCCTGGGGAGGCAGCAGAGGACACAGTGAGGTCTGACTTGCTCACACAGCAGAATAGGCAGAGACTCAGACGGGAAGGCCCAGGGTCATGAAGCAGTCCAAACTGGGCCCCTGCTGTAGTGAAGAAAATTGTTAAGTGTTGTAAACTTTTTTAAAAAAATTATAGGATGTAGAAACAGAGGTGCATGGCCTGGGTGGTGGAGTTGGGACCACAGGGCAGAGTTTTGATAGTGTAGAGTTAATTGAGGTGCACAGCCCCAGTGGTGGAATTTGAGTTTTGGACAGAGCTCTCAGAGGAGGAGCTGAAAGCTGTGACCAGGCCCAGTGAGCTGAGGGATACTGCTAGGTCCAGAGCAGTCCAGACAGAAGTCCAGACATACAGTAAGATCCTTGAGGCATGAAGATGGCAGGTGGTAACTTGGGTGAACTAGTCCACCTGGAAGTCTCCAGTTACCTAAAGGGCAAGTGCTTAGACAGCTCTGAGGTGAACTAATTTACATGCAAATTCCCAATTTTCACTCTGTTTTATTATGCTACTATAGTGTTTGCTCCTGTGATCTAAATACAAGACCATTAGTTACCAAAGTTTTTCAATGTCTAAATTTCACTTGCTGTCAATTTCACTAACTGCTAATTGCACTACTGTTACCAGAATACTATAACTTTCTTAACTACATTCTTCCTTGGGTAATAATATCAGAAGGCACTTGTGTAACAAACTCACCAAAGTCTTATACCAAAGGACAGAGAACAGTACCAAATAGAAACCAATATCCCACCTTCAATAGAGAAGAAAAAATCTTGGGACACAAAAAAACAAGAATCTTTGATACAG